CCATTAGAGTCAGAAAGGACTCGAATGTGATGTTATATGTTATGACATGATAATACCTATAAGCACGCGGAGTCCCACTCCACCCTTTGCTTGTCACTTTCGATTTCAAAAATATCGATATGGTGACAGTCAAAATGCTCAAGTCAAGCTTTCAAGATGGAGCTTCACTAAGCAATGGTTGACGTCACCATGGCAACATACAGTTTATGTACAAGTCAAAGTAACCTTTCAATTAATGAAAGATTTCCCAGCACCGCACTGCAGATGTTCTGAAGTTCACAAAGAGCTCTTAGAAATACATCTTTAAAGTATCAAAAGGTTTAACTGAGTGACCTCAAATCCTTGTCTCAAACAATTTTGCTGGGAACTAATCAGTCACTGTGTTTAAAATATGATGTAACCGTTTCTAGGTCCTTTGTGCCATGCGGTCAGAGCGGATTTCTTACATGATATATGGTGTTTGTCTGCAACTGCCAAAAACAACAAACTACATCATTACAAAAGCAGACAATCTGGACGAGGAACCGAACGTACGTCATTTCTTCTCAAAGCAAAAATCAGGTAAAAGCAGCCTGCAAACACTAAAAGATTCATCGAGCGTTTCATTGCAGATCTTCAGTGAAACTTTAATATTTTACAGCCTGAATTCCAGCCATCTCTGCAAGCCTATAATTCAGCATGGTTCAAACAATGCTTGCGTCCTCGTTTCTTCTGACCTAAAGCTTGGTCCTTCTTCAGAAAACGATGAGACAAAGGAAACAGCATGAGCGTATATCTGGCCTTGAACCAACAGGCACAGATCATTAAAACTGATGTTTTTCCTCCAACAATGAGGACTCTTTAATAGCTGCACAGCAATTTCTAAGATGTTTTAACTCTCGTGTAATCGCAGAACGGCCCTACAACTTGTTAAGATTGCTGGCACATGTTTTATAACCTATAAAATTCCCCACAAGGTGAAAACAAACAAGAAACAATTCACCCCATTCAGAAAATGTGGAAGGTATCACAGTTAGTAAAATGCAGCTTTGTTAACACGAACCAGCAGATGGTGATAAGCTGTTGTTGTGCTGGGTGACATGGATGCATGCAATCTGTTGCTTTCACTGACGAGTTGAACTATCAGAACTTAAACAGGAGAAAAACAATATGAAAACATATTTTAATAGCCAGCAGAGAAAAGGTCCAAAATTCTCCAGTTTGTACTTTACTTTGTCTTTTGTGATTGAAAAAATTCAATGACATCACATCAGGCTTTAGGAAATCTTAATAAGAATCCCAAAAATAAATCAAGAAATCACTGCATGTCTGTTTGGTTTCCACGAATCTCAATAGTAAAGACTTTTCTGGTCTTAGTCGCTAGATTCTAGTCTTAAAGAACAACATGATGTTCATATTATAAATTATGGTTCCCATTATAGCCAAAAAGAGCACTAAAAGTAGCCCCAAGGTATGTATCACATCTAGTTCCATAAAGCTAAAACAGTGACAGCCAAAACTCGAAGCTTCACCGATACATCCGATAAAGTCCAGGTGTCCCACTGGGGCATCATCCACTGATTTCATATTAGCTGCATTCACATATCTGCCAACTACTGATAAAATACCAGAATTTCACTCACCTAAATCGAATCACAAACTTATAGGATGTTTTGCATCACAGTGAGCTCCAGTGTATGTGAGCACAAACCTAGCAGACACCAGTCATCTCCAAGGAGCCACGCCCCAGACTCCAGTATCCATACAGGTAAGTTATAAAACAGTTCAGCCCATGGTGTTGCTACGAAGTGCGAAAAACTGTCCACAGAGACCAACTTTATTTCTTCTATAAGGTTTTAACATGAGAGCATTTTTGAGAGGCAGCTTCAAATTGTGATTTCAGGAACTGCAGTCATTGGCACTCCACAAGTTGCCGTTAGAGTGGCAACAACCTTGTGAAGAGGGAGGAAGTTGTACTGACCAGCTGGTTGCACAGAGGCCACCTGGAAGCTTTGTAGACAACATTTCGACAGATGGAGACACTTGTGATTTTTGCTGCTTTGTCACAGTCAGTTGCTGTACTATCACTAAAAGACTGCATGCAACTGAAACTTGTCCCCATTCTATTCAAAAAATGAGCTTTATTTAAGATGGCGGGTGAATGTGAGGGGCCGCTGACCTGGTCCCCATCTTTGGAGCAACCATTTCAAAGGCAGCAAGATTGTGCCGTGGTCCCTAACCACTGTTATCCCTACTGTAACTGTAGTATAGATTACACGGAAGCTATGTCCTGCTTTACCATATGGTCTGAGTTTATAAATGAGCCTTGAGTGACAGTGACAGCTACTGTTGCCAGCTTTACGTCATTTTCTAATATTTTCTAAATAAAACTGTTGTAATGAAAATAAACCCTGCACTGGTTTAATGCCATGTTGATGAAAATCAGTTTGTTGACAGTTGGATTATGAAAGCCAACAAGGGCAATGATATTTTCCAGATGACTAGATTAGGTTTCTTTTTAAAAGTTGTAAACAAACAAAGAAACAAAGACAAAAAGCATCACCGTTCTTGTTATCTATAGCCTAACAAGGCCTGACCAGCCGTCCTACAAAATGATCAAAACAAAGTTTTCACCAAATCTGCAAAATCAAATGCAGATTCATGAAGGTTCGACTTCTGCTTTGTGAATGTCATGTTTAATTCAGAAAGCAGCAGGCAAACATCAAACGTCAGAAGATCTGATGAAAATATGGCATTTCTGTTTGTTTCATGTGTTAATTAGAGAAAGGTTATCCACCCCTGTGTGACTTTTCATATCTGCAGTTTATGACCTGCTTGGTTGCATTTTCATTTTATCAGCACAACTACCAACTATTGCAATGTTTAACCTGTTTTAAATGCACTTATTCCGAAAATGATCACTTTTAATTCCTCAAAACATTTTCAGACTTCTCCTAGACAAGCAGATCTGCCAGGATTAGTTGGCTGATTACAATCACTGAAATGTGGGGATTGTCTTTTTTACCCCTGGTGTAAAAGAAATGATTTAATTATTTTTTAATTAGACACAGCGAGTCCTGAACTTTGGGTAAGTGTTTAAAAATGATAAAATGACCTGTGGAACACAAAATATCTCCATATTAAAGACTGACTGCTTGGCATTGCGCATCCTGTTGTTAAGCGGGACTCTGGTGGTTTTCCAAACTCATCATATTCATACATGCACACATATCAATTCAGACTGGAGGTCAGCGCAGACCAGCTGAAGTTAAAATTCCTCTAGTCTGCACGGTGAAAGACACATTTTAAGAGGAACTGGAGCTCAATTCGGCTGGTAAAATAATCAAACCAACAGCTCTCCTCCTTAAAAATGATCTGAACTTCACATAAAAAAGGGTGGCTCATCCCTCCTCGCATCCATGCTGCAGACACATTAATTCATTCACGAACATCATTGTGAGGCTGATTTATTCTTGATTTAAAAATTCTGGTTTGTGCAGCGTCAGCCTCCACTCACAGCCTGAATCTCTGACAAAGCCCACACTAATGAAGCGCAGTTTATTTCCATTATAAACTGCCTTTTCTCTGCATCGCTGCGAGATGACAAATGAAAAACGAGCCGCACTTACAGGACTCGGATGACAGTTCCTTTTCCATGTTCCCTTTTCAGGTTTTCGAGGCTCAAACGGCGACAGGATGTATTTCAGCTCCCGCGTAACGCAGCTGAACCAAACCAGAGCTGAGCTTGGGAAAGCCTCCAGGTTTTTCCTTCTTTTTTGGCCCCTTTTCTTGGGGACAGGCCCTTCAAACCCAAACCCTGCGCCGAAATGGGTCCCCTCCGCCACGGGTAAGCGCGCTGTTACGCCCTTGCGTTTCTCCCACAAACGAAGAAAACGCAGGAAAAACGCCGCAGCGTTTAAGGCTGAAGCAGCCCGCAGCAGCAAATCAACATTTTCAGCTGTGAATCGGCGCAACCTTTACATGCCCGGTGATGTTAAAACAATGAAGCGCATGCAAACGGATCAGTGTCGGTATTCCTGCGAACCCATCGGCCAGCCGAGCATTTCAGCACATGAAACGGCGTTTTTCCGTTTTTGAAAAACTCACCTCATTTGGATGGAAACTGCCGCTGTGTTGCCATGTCCGGTAAAGATAAAACTATACTATTTTTTCTTCTTTTCTTTAAAATCTCTACCTTGGGCTCATTTTTGCGGCGGTGTCCTGCTCCCCCAGCAGCGGCCGCTCTCCTCCTCTGCCTCGCCGTTTAAGTGTTTGGGTTGGAGGAAAAGTGATGTCATTGTATGAAATTTCATTACCCGCCCCACTTTTTTTCCCTTCTTTCGGAGGCTGTCCCACGTTGCCAAACATAACTTCGCTATATACTTAAAAAAAATCTGCCCCGTATGTGTGGTTTGCCGTGCCTTAAAATACTCCTGCAGGCACCACCGATATGGACACGACCAAGAAATCCATCAAAAAATAATTTGTGGTTGAAAGAGTGACATTTTTAAAGTTAACACACAAACAGCTGAAAACCTGATACAGCACTCAGGCTTCAAGGCAATTTAACCCAAACTAGAAATAATACAACCGCATGACAAAAAGGAGGGTGAGTGTATGGAGCTAAAACTGGACTAGAGGCCTTAAACAGCTATTTTTCTGAAGGTGACCTCAGGCTTAAGTGCAAATCTGGACTCGTCTATGTGGAACTGAAACATGCTCGAACACTTTACAATACAGCCTGCGTTTACTGGTGTTTGAATGGAGATGCAGAGGAAAAGAACAGCTGGAGAATAAACAAATCTGGGTGCGAAATGACTTCAGCTCCAAATTTTCCTCATGTACACTTGACAAACATGCACTAAACTGCACCAAATCTTTAGTACTCACAGAGGGAGTAAATTACAGAATCCTTCCAATGGTTCCTGTTATCTAAAGCCAGATGAAGGTTTCTTAACAATGTGTGAAAGCACAAACTACATCTGTTAAAGGTTTGTTGTTGATCATAAGCATAAAACAAGTTTAATAACCATATATTGTCTTTATTCATTTAAGGTTCCCTTTTCTCGCACAGTAACAGCTGAAGCTATAAACTGCTTTTCTGCAGGAATCAACTATAAATTTAAGCAGTGAAGCATTTGCAGATCAGCACACATGTCCTGTACTTTTTATTTATTTGTAACTACAACCAATGAAAATGTGGGAGATAAATGTGGGTGATGAAAAGGTTTGCTGTCCTGCATAAAATGAAACGACTGGTCGCTCAAACTGAAACACAAAACCACCTTAGCAGACAATAAAAATTACATCAAGTATTTTCGTAAATACTGGCTACAAGGGCATATGCAACAACAGAATGTGTTAAAGTGTAATAATGGGAGAAAGTTTCCAGTTGCTTTAAAGTTTTATGGAAATGTGTTTTCTGCTGCAAACATGCCGATCAGAAACAAAGTTACCTAAAACCCCATTTATTTCCTCATCTTTATTTCAAACCAGGCAGTAGGAGCAGAAACAGTGAGGCACATTACAATGATGTTTATAACTGAAACTGCACAGTGTAACATTTTACCTAAAACTTCAGTTTTCTCCCTGCATTCCTCTAACATGTCCAGCTGACATTTCTGATCCAAACGCTTCCCTCTCAGCTGACCTTTCCCTGCACCTTCACACGACTCACCTGAAACGGCCTCACACTGGGTGACGTCTCATCTCAGGCTGGATTTTCTTTAGTATGAAACCAGGAGTCTAGTTCCCCACATGAAGTACAATATGCTGAAAGGTTATTATGGAATTTCTGCCCATTGATTCCAAAAACATGTCGCCTACTCCAGCTTTCAGTCTCAGTAGGAGCCGCTGAGTACTTTAGTACCTAATGTGGGCTGTATTATAAACGAGTAGCAGTGACAGTTCTTTGAAATGCTGGTTCATCTGGGAGCGTCGGCTGCAGCAGAGTCGATGTCTTGGAGCGAATTGTCAGTCGTGTCTTCCTCACCTCCGACTGCCTCTGACACCACCTGAGTGGAAGAACAAAGATAAAGCACATTTACTGCTAGTTCAGATCATCTGTTTGTGTAAAGGGCCGACAGCACGGTACAAAAGCTTCTTTTCAAAGGGTTCAGTGATTCTCTTAACCCCACTGAACATCTCACTTCATATTTTCTTTACACCACAGCTTTCAAAGTTTTGATGACAGATTGCAAAATCTAGAGTGACAGACTGAGGGGCAGAGAAGAAATACAACATCAAATAAAATAAGCAAAAACGAATAATTAAAACTCAAACTTCCCTGGCAGCACAGGACAACCTGCAGAGAGGCTGTTACATTCCTAACCTGATGCATATGGAAATATTATAAATGCTGCTCTTATTTTCAAACATGTCTATGACAGACTGAGTAGTCAGTCTGACACGAGGTAAGGTCTGAAATTTTGTGTTTTAAAATTTAAGTGTCAGAAAAAAGGTTTTAGTTAAGAGGATTTAATTTAGTCCAGCTAAAAGTGCATTTGTGTTGATGGAAAATGCACAAATCTCATTGCCTCCACCGTATGCAGATAAATTGAGCTTAGGCATGTAGTGACTGCACAAAGGCCTTTTTTGTAGCAGGAGAAACCCAGCTGCAGGTAAAGCCTGTAATGAGTCTGTTCCAAGGACTGTAATTGTTTTGCCTCTATATAGTTTATTCTTTAGTGAGATGGCAGCTATAATTCGTGAATACATTTGCTCTCAGGAAATGTTAAAGGGTACTACTGAAACTGGAAAACTTGCTATTGGTGTTGTCCTGGACTGCTGCATCTTAGTATGTAAAGTAAATGTTATGGTCTGTGGGCCACTTTGTGAACCACAGCTTCACAGACTGAATGTGACCAGCAGAGGTCTAAAGGTCTTTGCAGACCAACATGTACATGTTGTAGCAGTCTATAGCCACTGGGGGGCAGTCACAAATACGCCTGTTTATTGCATGTTTGTTAATACGAAGTTTATTTTTTATTTTCTGGGAACTAATCAGTCACTGTGTTTAAAATATGATGTAACCGTTTCTAGGTCCTTTGTGCCATGCGGTCAGAGCGCATGGCACAAAAACATGCCAGGTTCACTTTCTTCACTGTCAGTCACCCAAGCCCCCCTTTTTCTTAACTGAGGCAAGATTTTATGGATATATTTTAATTTTTTTAAGACTTGTGAATTTCTCTCTCTCTCTCTTTGAAGAAAATACAGCTATGACACAACACATGCCAAAGAATACACCTGTAATTTGTTATTTGTATCCTTTGTATTTGTTCAAAGGTGTTCATAAATTAAGTCAAATCATGTCAATTAATGTCAAAAAATGATTTATTTTTCTTCAACACTGTTCACTCATATGAAGACAATGGACATAAAACAGATTAATTTCATAAAGGAGACTGCATCCTCAATAAAAGCTCCTAAAGGTACGTCTGAGATAGAGAACAAATAAATAAAAAAAATAAATTCATTAATAAACTAAAATCAACCCTAACCTTTTTTGAGTTTTCTTTTTTCCTGTGATCAACCTGAAAATGTTTTCAACACAGTACAGTTTGAATTGAGTGCATCAATGTTACCTGCCGCAATAAGATATTCACGACGACAAAACCCCTGATTGAGAGTTAACCTGGTTGTTCATGATGGCGTCCACATCTCTCTCTGAGAGTTCCTGCCCTGAGGTGTCAAGGTCCTGGTCTGGGTCCTCGCCAGTCAGGATGTCCATCGGGGCCTCAGCTATGGCTCTGATGGTTTGGTCCTCCAGGGCCAGGGCTGTGTCAAACTGCAGAGGGGAAGGAGGACCCTGCATACCGTCCCCTTCCACATCCAGGTCCTGCAAAACAGAGATGCTCAAAATTGCTATTGGAGGCATTTTTGATGGTATATTTATAGAAATCCCCCCGTGTGTATTTGTTTTTTAAGCTTGCTTTCATAGCCATTTGTTTCATTTGACTCAACCTGAGATCAATATTAATGGATCTGTTAACAGAAGGATAACATAGAAGCTTATATGTCCCTTTATATGCAGACAAACAGCTATGTTGGTAATAACCCACAAACGGCCCATTCAAAGTGAGGAAAAACCTGATTGGGCAAACCGTACCAGCATTTAAGATGCTGCTTTACTGAATCATTGTAACCTGCTGCACATGCAACAGTCTGTCCACTTGCAACCTCTGCCCCACTTGAGCCAGACTCCCTCTCCTTTAAAGGGTTAAAATCCAGAATATATAATTAAATATAATTAATATTTGAAATGCATATTTCAGACTGAAGTAGTTTTATAATAGTCATTAAAGTGGAATAAATATTCCTATGTAATAATTTTACAGTATTTTTTGGAGGGGTGAAGTTTTTTTGTCATTAGGGTAAAATGTGTTAGGATTTTTAAGGCTCTTCCAAGGGTTAAAACTCCTAAAATGTTTCCTACCATAAAGCAACTTACTTACTCAGCTTTTTTTTTTTTTTTACTTTTTAAAAAATTATTAAACAGATATTGTCCCATTGATAATTTGTGGGCTCGCACAGTGACACAGTGGTTAGCACGCTGTCTTGAGTTAAATTCCAATATCAGACCAGGGAGGTGTCTGTGTGGAGTTTGCATGTTCCCCGTGTTTTTGTGTGTTCCCTTTGGATTCCTCCCACAGCCCAAAGACATGCAGTTAGTGGGGTGATTCTTAATTGCCCATAGATACAGACAACCATTTGGTTTTGTGGTAGCCCTGCGACAGACTGGTGACCTGTCCAGGATGTACCCTGCCTCTTGCCAAAATTTAAATTTTTTAGAGTGATCACACTTGTCAATTTGCAGGTCATCAGTGACACTGTCGCACAATTACATCAGTTTACGCTTGCCATTATGGTGTTACCAAACCCTGCAACATTCCCCTGAAAGATCAGTCAGCACTCAGAGAAGAGTACAGGTGTCATCACACAGAGATGATAAAGAAAACGTAACTGGGTAACTTCAGTTGTAAAAAATAACTTGCTCAAGTAAAAGCCTTTCATCTGCTGCAATTTGTAACTTTCTGTAGCTTTTCTTGTTTGTACTTTTCTGCTCAGTAATGCATTTAAAATAAGTGTGGAGACCAGCAACCTCATTAAACCGAAAAATACTCTACTCCAGAACAAAAAAACCAAAAACATACTACAGCAGCATGACTTGGTACACTATCCCCTGCTGTGGTGGAAACTTTACAACAGCTTGTTGAAAAACGCATTCAGACTGATACTCATCTTTCACAAGAGGAATTATGTGGAACGTGATATGTGTATTAGAGAGAAGAGGTTGGTAGGTGACTGTCATTTCTACGTACATCGCTGAACTCGAGAGGGAGGTTTTCTGTGGGCTGAAGCTCTGCCGCACTCAGGTACATGTCTTTGCTCATAGGGGTGAACTCCTCCTGTGGCGGAGCCTCCTGCTCGGGCTGGTACATGGGCGGAGGCAGGGTGAGGTGCAGCGGGCAGCGGGGGTCGTCTGACTGACCCATGTGCACAGTACGATCACATGGAACATCTTTTAACCCTGGACACATTTTAAAAAGGATCTGGTTGCTGTCCTGGTAGATATCTGAACATGTGGCTGTCAAGGAAAATTTGATTATCAAAAAGAGAAAAAAAAAAAAAAAAGATAAGAGAGAGAATACCAAAAAACTAAAGGGTAAGAGTTGCGGAGAATTAATGGCAAGCTGCACTGATGCTTCTCTGGAGGCCCTCTGTTGTCCAACGCTTGCACCGATTTCTAATTGGCTTTCAAATGTCACCCATCAGCATCCAGCACCTACAGTCGGCCCATTTTCATTCTCTAACACCATTTCATTGTAAGTATATGACAGTGAGACAACTGCCTTCAAAAATCATGGTTTGTATTCATCTGGATTTCTCAAATCTTGTGCCTGATTAAAAAACAAACAAACAAGAAATATCTTAGAAATATTTAGAAAGCCTGATAAACGTCCTTGTTGCATTAAAGTGATGCCTTTATGGTTTTGTAGAGCATGTTAATGATAAAATTCTCATGTCTGGGTTCAATCAAACTAAACTGGCTATTGAAAGAACAAAATTCTTAATATTCAATAAAGGAAAAATTGTTATTCTCACACTGTGAGAACTAAAATGCAAGACTGAAAAACATGAAACGTTACACTAGTCAAAGTAGGTTAAGAAAGATTTTGTTCCTTCCAACTGAATTGATTAGCTCCTTTGTTTTCTGGGAAACAAATCAACAGACCACAGGAAGCTGTTTATCTAGGCTCCCGTTGAAACGAACAGCTACTACAAGCTGCTGGTCTTGATTGGGGCCAAGGGGAGGAGGGCGGAAATGAGAAACGTAACTGAAGAGTGTAGAAATCAGCAGAGAGCAGATCAGTCTACATCTGGCTCATTCACTCAACAGAACAGAGCTTTAAAACACACTCCATTCAAACTTAGTCAAAGCTAACACCTGTTAGCTAACAGCTTACCTTTGTCTCATCAAACCTTTCCTGGTGCATTATGAGGAGCTGAATGATATCAGCCTAGTGTTAATGTCCAGCACAGAAGCAATACGAGCGGAAATTAAGCAAAGAGAGTCTCATTTCATGACACGTCTTCAAACACAGCTCCTCTTTTCACTGTGGAGCATCTCTGCACTCAACTCTTTATCTCTGGTAACCATTCTTGAATGAAGCCACAAAGCCGCTCCCAGCTGTTAAGAGAATATTACACTAGCTAGCATCACCCAATATGCCCTTTGGCATTAAATTTTGTATCTGAGTAGTTACTAGTATAACAACAATAGCAATAGCTTATTTCACAAATCATATAAAATTGTGTGTTACAATGTTTGCCCTGTTAAATTTGGCTGTGCATCATTTAACATGATCTTATATTAATGTACATTGGTCATTTGATTCATTGTGAGTGGAAAATGTGTACAGTTGGTACAGTCCCCCTCTCAATACAGTATATATTTTACATTTAAACCCACCAATTGGCAATAGAGGACAGTCTGTTCACCGCTGTTAAGCTGGTTTTGAAAAATTCATATCATACGTGATACTATGATGAGTATTCCACCCATCATCTTTCATTCAGTGATTATTTAGTCACACTATTAAAGCCATCAGAGGATACGTGAGACACAGTGTCGGGCCATAGGCAGGCAGGGATTGGTACATCGGGTTCCCTCCATGAAGGAGATGCATTTTTCACTCACTGTTCTTGTGTGTGGCTACAACCGAAATAACAAACAAACATTAGATAATGAAGTGAAACGTAATCATAAACAGTTGACGTTTTTTTAATTATCCCTCTATGACACGACTGCCAGAGAATATAAGTAAAGAAAATGTACAGATTTCTTTAAACTCAGTATCAATTCAAGTTAGCACCTGAGGGCCTCCTTCTGTCACAGCCTGCCTCCTTTCCCTCAGCTGCCGGTGCAGCAGGGCCTCCACCCCGTACCGGCGGCGGTATCGACGCAGAGCTTTAAGCTTCTTCAGGTTCTCCCTCTCCTTCATGGAAAGACCTTCAGGCCCTGTCAGGAGGCTGGTACCTGTAATCAACATTAAAAGGTTTGTGTCACTCAGAATTAAGAGGAGTGAGCAGTAAAAGCATAAATTTGTCCTATGATTACCTATAGCTTCATGCTCCATTTTGCGGTTGTGCAGGTATCTGCGCTTCTTCTCTTTCAGCAGGTGCTGCAGGCGTTTGAACTGATCAATATAGAGGGACTGGAGTCTGATAAGTTTTTCTCGAGTGATTAGCGCCACTTCTTCTGCAGTGTACACTCCTGCATGTCTGCCAACACATAGCATTGAAAATCTAACGTCCATTGAGTTTCAAAACAATAAACTACTCAGTATCTAACAATTTAAGACTAAGATAAGTAATTCTTAAATCAACATACAACATTATGTTGTGCCACTGGATGATGAGCTCAGGTATTAAGTCAGAGGTATTAAGTTATTAAGTCAGAGTCATCACTAACAGCTTGTCAATAAACACGATTCGAGCCTTTGTAGGTTTGCATATTAACTACTTACTTTTTTAAAATTTTCTGTCAACGTTTTTAGCAAAAAGAATGTAAAAAAAATCTAAGACTTATGTGCGCCTTATAGTCGTGAAAATACGGTAAGACGATTGAACTGCTTCACTTCCGTCTGCCATTTATTTATTTTCCGGCTCTTTGAAAGGTCGCAGCAAAATGTTGAGGAAAGGTGTCGAGTTTTATCTGGAGCATGTACAGACTGATATTAATCTTTAATAGGGCTGTGAAAATTGAGAGCTAACAAAACAACTGCTGCACAATGTCGTCCGCCATCTTAGTTGAACTGGTCACGTGACTGCATCATATGACTAAAATGCATCCTTGTTTTCGAAATCTTCCTTTTTCGCTGTCCACACAGCGAGGCACATGCAGCGTTTTCAAATTTATCCACTTTGGAGAGTGTTTTCAAACCAAAAACGCCGTCTCAGTGTGGACGGAAGGCCAAAAGGGGGGGAAAAAAGATGCATTTTCAAGTCTGGACATGGCCTAAGCCTTCTATCTTGAACTACAGATTCTTATTCAAACTACATAACTACACAATGTGGGTTGAGAAGAAAATCTTAAGAGCTTACTTCAGAGGATCCTCGTGATCACTATCGATGCTGTCAGCCTCGCTGTCCGGATCTCCTCTCCACGTCTGGTCCAATACCAACGGCCCCTGCTCTTCCTCACTCAGACTGTCCTCATCTAGGAAGAGGGAGGAATTAGTGGTATTTTTATCTGACTTTTGGTAGAGCATGCTAGCGGGCCGTCGTTATTACCGTGTTTTTTGGAAAATACGGCACACTTAAAATCAATCCTTTGACTTTTCTGAAAATCAACAGTGCCCTTACAATCCCGTGTGCCTTATGTATGAATTCGGGTTGACCTCGAAACGATTTTATGTACACGGCGCTTGGAAATCTGTCAAATGTTTTAGTATGACTTTGCTAGGCTAGGAAGCCGCACCGCTTGATGGATTGTCGGAGCATTACGGCTATCGAAAGCAGGAGCCTCGCGGAGTGATACGTACGGTGCTTCAACATAATATTACCGTATTGTGTGTGTATAACCTCTTTTTAACTTTTGTGGATATTGGTTATGCTGAGGATATGTTGCTCAGTTTCCACTGGAAATACCTTTTGGTTAAACTGTCAGCAAGGAATTTGCATTTGCACTGTTAAATTTTTATATAACTTTAATGCAGATAAAAAACAGCTGCTTGTTTAAGTGAAAATACATTGATGTTATGTGGTTTTTTTGCACTAATAAAGTTGTGGCGTTGTAAAGTATTTTGTCTAGTGTCAATTATATCGTCAGTTATATCGTTATCGCAAATTTTCAAATGTATATCGTGATAAATATTTTTGGTCATATTGCCCTGCTCTACAACTAATGAATGAAAGCTATAAACTTTTTAATCTTTTCACAAGTGTACCAAATAACCCAACAAATAAAACTAATAAAACAACAAACAGTCTGTACAACTACATCAGCTTAACCCACATGCACCCAAATTACTATTTCCAAGTCAAAAAGTGGCCATTACCTAGAATGCGGCTGGCTTCAGAGCGTCCTCCATCAAGGCTGTGTGACTCTGCTCGGCTGTACCCACTAAGTTGAGACAGCAGGGCCTCCGGTGACGGACCAGAAGACGCCTTTCTCATTTGAGCTCGAAGAGCCATGGCATTCCTGCGAGCGTGCTCCGCACAGAAGGTCACTCTACAGAACAGACATTCAAATTGAAATTAGGAGGCTGCATGGTACTGATGAGTTTATTTACATTCCCCCTTCTCTTGGGATTAAGTTCCCATTAATGAGATTCACAGCAGATAATGATGAGATTTAATTTGTTTTTATCGATTGTTAATGGCTGATTTAGACCTTCCACCCACCCGTCTTTCCTCTCTGCCTTTGGTGCGGCATTGGGACACCGCTTCCCGTTCTTGGCAGAGACGTAGCTGCACTGTTTGTAAGGCGCATTCTTGTCCTCCAAGATGTGTTTGATGCAGAATTCCAAGCCTTCAAGTCGTGGCTGAGAGCAGGGCCGCTGGGTGAAGGAGCAGGCCTGTGGCTCCTGAGGTCGGGGTGTCTGGGTCACCCGGTTCCGACTTGAGGGCAAAACATGAATCCGTATCCTGTTCATTTCAAGCCTGCATTAAATGTAATAACAAAAAATAATAATAATAATAATAATAATACATTTTTCCTGTTCACACCAAATGTTTGTATGGCTGCATGCATGAATAACAGCAAGAATTCCTATAAAAACATTTGTTTGAATGTTGGAATAATGTTGGCTTCTTTAATGTATTTTTATTCAAACTACTAACTTTGGTGACCAACAGGCTGGTATTTCAGAAACTGCTGATCTAGAGATCAAAGATGGGTCACACAGATCCAACTCTAGGGTTTATAGAGAACAGTATGAAAAAGAGAAAACGTCTAGTGAGCAGCAACATGTCAATAGAAAGAAATTAGAAGAGGCTAGACTGCACTGAGCCGATAGGAAGGCAACAGAAACTCAGATAACCGCTTGTTTAATCAAGGTATGCAGAAGACCACAGCACGTCAAATCTTAAACCAGATGGGCTATAGTAGCAGAAGACTGGACGATGATACTCCTGTAAGCTAAAGCGAGCAGGAAGGGATTGGAAAAGCAATGTCTGGTCAATTTAATATATACTGAAAGGCCAGGATCTGATGTAAACAACATGAAGCTCCATCCTATGTTGTATGACCAGTTCAGGCTGGTGGTGTCGGTGTAATGGTCGTTCTACCCACACTTTGTTAAAATCCCACAGCATACCCGATTCTGACAATGTTCAACCCTTTATGACCAGAACACTCATCTTCTGATGGCGGCTTCCAGCAGGATAACATACCGTGTCAGAAAGGTTTAAAATGGTTTTCTGAACAATTACACTGTACTTAAATGGGCAGGATAGATACTCGTGGTTTTTCGCCTTTTGATCCCAAATATAACCAAAATAGAAAAAAAAGCATATTGAAAATATGCACATAAGGTGTCATTGACCAAATCACTATGAGTACTTAAATCTAAATAAAGCTGTATAAAACTAAAACAATGTTTTCATGTTATTGGTTTACTGACGGGCGATGTCAGATGGTCGTTATTAACATCAGTAAAAGCTTATAAATGTTACGCATACAACCTAAAGGCAATTGTAATAAGTAACAAAGAGTAATAAAGGCCGCATTAATGTAAGAGAGAATTGCATTTTTTTTTTTAAATTCAAATATAAATCGAGGAGACAAACTCCTCTCTGCGTTAATGGATAAACTCTAACCGGGCGCCACACCGAGCTTCAGCCCGCCTCTCCTTACTGCGTCACTTTAACAGTTAAGACGGCAGTCGCCATCTTTGATCAATCGCTGCTAACGGCAGCTAAATGCTAATTTTCTCATTTTGCAGCGAAGATAGCAAGTCGGTGCCACAAAATTGCCGTATCCCTCCATAACGCCAACGTGATTGTATGCCAGAATATGAACATATCGCTAATTTCTATTTGCGGCCCCCTACCTTTGTCTCGGACATCCGAGCTAGCGTGAGCTCCCGAAGAACACTGTTACGTCGATTTTCCTGCATTCCCTGTTAACTGCCACAGCCGCCGCTTACAATAAGTAACCCCGCCCACCTAGAGATCCGATTAGCCAGAGCGCCGGAGTGAGGTAGCCCATTGGCCAATCCAGTTGCCATTCAAAGTGGCATCCACCCAATGTATTTACACTTTTATCATAGACCAGGGCCTCGAACTCTTTAGAACACAACTTGACCTCAAGAGGGCTACACTTACAATACCACTGGATAATACCCCCTATCTTTTAAAAATAGAAGAAAAAAACAGTATATTTTGAAAACATTCAAATGTAAAACTTTGACACACCATGCATTTACAAATGATGATATATCAAGTAGAGTAAGTGCAATTCCATCAGTTGCTCTACAATGCTTGTATTACCCCTCAAACATATTTTTTTTGCAAAATATAATGGGTAAAACTGGATCTTCTTTCAGGGCAGATCAAGCTCCTAGACCGCATTTGACACCCCTGGCATAGATTGATTCACCTATAAAATGCAATGTTATTGATGAGCCAAAAGCAGCACTTTCTTAAAATATTTTTTATTGACTTTGAGAATAAAGCAACCACATTATATCAAAAAAAAGAACAGTGTTCACATATTTTAAACGGGAAAAAAAAAATCTCAAAACTTTTTCTTTTTCAGACCTGAGTGTCACTGAAAACACCAAGACATGAAAACACATGAAATTTATTGTAGCTATATGATTTTTGCATTGTTAGGTTGCATGAGTGTCGTCCGTTTTTTCTTACATATGGGTTTTAATATGAAATGTGTCCTTTTTGTGGCTTGTTCACAACAAAATGGTAATACTTAAAATGGAAGCTTTGCCCAGATTAAACAAAATGTTTCAAAAACAGTGGCAATTTCACACCAGAAAATCTATTAGTCTAACCATTATACACGTAACACTTTGTCAATTGCATTGTAGGCAAACCTACTGAGATAAATATTCAGTGCATTTACTGTTTCCCTGTTACAACCAAGAATAATAAAACCTCTGCTGCATGAGCAAGAAGCTTCTCTTTTCAAGCACATTTTCAAATATATGAAGGGGGTAAAATATACAGCTGGACGGCTGATTTGCTGTGCTACATTACTGTAAAATAAGAGCACTAATCCTAAACAATTAAGTTTTATGAATAGGCAATAACCTGCTTATCTTGCCAACAAAATCTGGGTATTGGCCTTCATGCTCAAGAAGTGGAGGTATATAAATAACCTGCTGGTCACATATGATTCTGTACAACCACAGAAAACATGCAAACATGTTTTTATGATGAATGATGGCATGTGGGCAGATAATAAAACAAACCAAAGTTAAATATCCACCAATTTAGTTTAGAGGAATGCACTCGAAAGACAAGTTTAACATGATTAAATCAGACCAGAGTGAAGTGACAGCTACACTAGGGTTTACACTTTTAAAACATCCCCACAATTAGATAAAAACAGATGAGCTATTAACTTTTATACTGTGTTAAAACTCTGTATACTGTGCTTATTAGGGTCTAGCAAATCTGGGAAAAAGTTTTTCCTGACATAATTTCTTGTCTTCTGAAAATTATACATTTCCATATATGATGCTTATTTCTTTGTCTTTGCATTTACCTGTGATCACCCCAAAAAAATGAACTCCTGAGGAAAAACAATAAGGAAAGAGAAATAGTCTAGATAGATGCTCTTTTTGTTGAATTTCCTTCATTGTGACCAAAGTGCACAGATGTTTCAACCGTTTGTGAACAGATGAATGTTCTTGCTATGAACTTAGTGTATCCATTCAAGAACCAAATATGAATATTTTACAACCATTTAAAACAATGACTGCAAGACTTAAAAACTTAAAGTGAAAAGTACAAGCTTTTCCTAATTTACATCCTTTTTTTTTTTGCAAATTTGCAAATATAAAGGTTCCAATGTTTGTTTTAAACATTTTTTTTTACATTTTTTCCTCAAATCACCAAATAGCACAGCAAATATAACATATACATGAGGGATGAAGCCATTTTTATGGCTCACAGAAAAAATAAAAATGGGAAAAATAAAATAAAGTAAAAAATATATCGAAAAGATGGCTTTGGAGACATGCACTCTAACTAGGCTGTACAGTCTTAAAGAAATGACCATCTGTTCCAAAAGAACAGAGGTTTAACCCTAAAAAAAAGGTAGAAAAAGGGGACCTTTTTTCTTTTTTAAAATCATTTGATCAATAAATAACACCCTATAAAAACATTATAAAAAGAATCAGTAAGAAGACCAACCAGGTATGTCATGGAAATTTTTCCAAACAAATTGACATCCTCTAATTCCTGTCTTCTTGTCACATATCATTTGAATTTTTCAAAAAGAAAAAACAAAACACTATCTACACTTTCCCATGATTCTTCTTGTCTCACATTTTGCAAGTCCCATTATTGCCCCACGTGTACGCCATAAAATCCTTTGTTACCCCCAGTACATTTCTCTGCTGTCACACTGAAGACTATAAAATGTTGGGTGGCTGGAAAATATCATACAACACTTTATGTAACAAGATGATCAAGATGTCAAGTAAAATGTACATAATGTGGTTTCCTGATTAGAAACTTATTTGGGCAAAGGCGGCAGTGGGGGAGGCGGCTCCGTGGGCAGGGGAGGGGGCCTAGGGTTGTTTCCTCTGGAGCTGCTCGAGTACCGATAATCACCATACTGAGATCTGTAGTCAAACATAGACTGCTGGGACGGCTGCACACCCTGTGCACTCAGCAGTGAGTTTAGCATCTCAAAAGTGTCCTGGTACTCGTTGGACTGGGCTCCGCCAGCTGAACTGTGACCATTAGTGTCAGTTTTGTCGCTTTTGGAATGCGAATAGCTTCCTTGGTGGTGGGGGAGTCCCAGAGATGGAAGAATGTCAGAACCGTGCCCCAAAATTTGTCCAGAGGAGGAAGACAGGGGAGGTAACTGGTAGGGATTCCTAGACTTGCTCACTTTGGAGGGTGGGTGAGATCCTGCTGAAGGATCCTGGGAGTGTGTCCTCTTGCGTGAGGCGGACGAGGATGAGGACGAGGATGAGGAGCTTGTTCTAGAGGAGTCACTTGGTACTTTTTTGCTGCTTCCCAGCGTGCCGCTGGAACTAGATGAATGTTTGTGTGAAGAAGAAAGTGAGGCACTACTGGAAGAGGAATGGTGGTGGTGAGAGTGATGATAATGGTGGTGGTGGTTAGAACGCTCCCTGTGCTTGTCCCTGCTTTTGCCATCCTCTCCTGAAGTCCCCCTCTGCTTGTCAGGCACTCGGATTTTGACTTTGATGTCTGGATCCTGGCCTCGACCACTGCTGCTGTGTCCACTGCTTCCTCCTGATCCTCCAGCAACTGGGAAGCGCATTTTTAGAGAGTCATGCCTCTCCTTCTCCAAGGGGATTTTAAGAATAATGGGTGATGGGTTGGACATGTCAGAGGAAGCGCTGGGTGGATGATGGTGATGCTGCTGCTTCTCCTTCCTCTGTTGCTGGCCAATGAGGGCCTGAGCTGCATTGGCATAATCTCTCTTTACGCTGGCCTCCATGTTCTCCAACTTTCTCTTTTGGGCAGCCAGGACGTCAGCATTCTTGGCACGGTACTCACTCAGCGACACCTTAGCTGGGGCGTGGACCTCATGGTTAGGCTGCTGCTGTGGTTGCTGTGACTGCTGCTCAGATCCACCTTGACCTTTACCACTCCAAGTCTGAGCACTGCCAGAAGCATTTGTGTCCTTGTCGCCCACTGATGAGGAAGAGGAGGCAGAAGGAGGAGCAGAGAGGCTCATCAGGCCTGCCACAGTACTCTCTGATGAAGCCATGGAAATCATGCTGATCATGGTGTCCCTCTGGTCACCCTCCTCCTGGACTTTTGGCTTGGCTTTTGGTGTCTGTCCGCCAGCCTGGAAGAAGAAAAAATTAAGTCAATGTCCACATTGAATCGGGAATTTTTAATAGCAAAAAGGAGAAGTTAAATTTGCGTTGTACCTTCCAGTTGCGAATTCGCTTCAGTCGGCTGGGTGTTTTCTCCAGGATTTGCAGGAACTCGTGTGTAAGTTCTGGAAGAGGAGGAAAAAAAAACAAACAAGTCAAATCAGCCCTTTTATTATCTAAACATTTTTTTCTTAAAGAGCATTTATTGCACATACCGTCCAGCAGCTCGAGGGTAACTGTAGGGTCAACATACTCCCACCAGTGTTTGCCATCTGTAGACACGGGGATCTCCCAGTTGGACCATTTGCAGGCGAGGTGGATGCACACACAGGCTACAACAGGCGGACTATACTGCAGGCAGAACGTTGTCAAGTGCAGGCTATATGGCATGATACGTCCAAGAAAAAAAGCAAACAGAGAAAGAGAAAACAGAAAATCAGTGTATTGAGCTTTAACAAACCACACACAAACTTTGGTGAATACCTAGCATTCACATAAGAAAGACACAACCCTGTGTGTGTGTGTGTGTGTGTGTGTGTGTGTGTGTGTGTGTGTGTGTGTGTGTGTGTGTGTGTGTGCGCATGTTTGAGAGAGAGAGAGAGAGAGAGAGAGAGAGAACTATGGGTGAACTCTGAGCATACCTGTTGGTGGCCATAAAGTATGATGTTTGGGCCAAATCCTTGCTTGCTGGAACAACAGCAGAACAAAGAGAAAAAAAATTTATAGACACAGCAAAAACTTGAAGATAAAATTGAGCAAAACCATAAAAATGATGCTCACCCCTGACAAGCTGAGTGCATTTGACAACATGTGTATGAGGATGATCGATGGTGATTTCAAAAGCTGTAATAGAAAGAGAAGAAAATGTAGGTAGACATTAATAAAAGAAATGCAAAATCAATGTATACTTATAATCCATATGGAATACAAATCCACTTCCCACTGGCAAAGATAACATTAACAAAGCCGCTGAAAACCAGAAAATTTGCATTGTGTTAAAAATCAAGTGGTGGGGAGTCAGAGTTGAGTGGAGTGTCACTTTTCATGGGAAAACATCCTGGACAACATGAAAATGTCAACACCTGAATATGAAAAAA